GTCTCCACCCTCCTCGTGGCATCGCCCTGCAAACTCCTCAGCAGCACACCCGGCTCCCCGCTGCCTACCTGCACTGCCAGCACCAGGCGGATGAGGTCCACCACGACCTCCTCGTTAGCCAGCTCGATGCTGATGAGCATCAGCATGCTGTAGAGAGCTTCGTAGTGAGCCTGCACGTTGCTCTCCTCCTTGCAGATCAGGTAGATGTGCCGGTAGAGCTGCTGGCCATGCTGTGGGGACACGGAAGGATGCGGTCACCCCCCTGAGCACCCTCTGCGAGCAACACTGCCAGCAACGCAGAAAAAGAAAAGCAGCAAAGGGGTCTCCATCCATGCAGGAAGGAGTAGAGCTCGTCTGGTTTTGCAGAGAGCCCCAGGGAGAGGAAGCTGTGACTACCAGGTGGTGTTTCACCACTTGATGCTGGACCCCAGCAGGGAAGAGGCACCAGCAGGTCCAAGGGCAGAGCACTCGCAGCACCGAGCCCAGGGGAAGGATGCCTCGGTTGCAGAAGCATTATAGAAATCCAGGCAGAAGAATAAAGCTCTGAGAGACATTGCTTGACAGCAAGGCATGGGACAGAGCCAGGTGCATGCTGGTGTCAAGGGAACTCAGCTCTGCAAGAGTTTTTGGTTTGGGGGCTGCATCGGTGCTCGCCAGTGTGTGCAACGTAACAAATCGAGCCCGTCGTAGCCTCAAAGTTAGCTCCAGAGGGGTTTGCACCACCCTGGAAGCGTTTTAAGGAAGCAGTGGGAGGGAAAAGAAAATAAATAACATCAGGCCATTTCAAAAGTTCCTTGCTAAAAAGCTTTGGGGATAGCAGCACATCCCGGGGAACTCATTCCTGGGGGCAAAGAGCAGATTTAGGAGTCTAGAAAGGTCCACGCATGAAGCGCTGATGGAGACTGAATCCCACTGACTTTTCCCAGGGACATCCCCAGGTTTAGAGGCATCACGGCACGCCAAGGCTCGATGTGACTCGGGGAGGCACAGTCCTCACACTGGTCTGCGCAAGGGCAGCTTGACTCAGACTCTGCCACTACCTTCTTCATGAAGACAGTATCTTGGCGTGAGCATTTGTCCACTTTCAGCTTCAGGACCGAGATGTCACTGATGGTGCTGCGAGGAAAGGACAAAGGGAAAGGAAAATTCAGACACCGGAGGGAGGAAACGCGATTCTCACGTGCCCGCAGAGCTGCCAGCCAGCAATGAGCTGTCCGGGAGGAATCAAGGGGAGAAGCTAAAGGGGGTTTTTAAAACCTAGATGAGCAATTCAGATATTGAAGAGTGTTGAGCCAAATCACTGCAGGGTACTTCAGGGCAGTGGTGCTGAGGGACACAAAAGCAAGTCGATGAAAACATCACTTTTTTAAGTGACCTCTTCCAAGGAAACACAGTGTGGACACCACCGCTGCCCAGCAAGCCTGTCCATGGGGATGCAAGGCAGCAAAATGAACCCACTCGAGGAGATTAATGCCCCTGCACATCCTCCTGCGACCACTATTTGACCACAGTTACATTCAGCAGCGCGGTCTCATCTCCTTCTGGGTACACTGTCTCAAAGAGACCCTCCCAACCAGCTGACTCTTAGCAGATGATTGCTCCACAGCATTAAACCACCCCAGAACCACCTCCCCATTTATTAAGAATCCTACCAGTGCTCCCAACCCAGCAGATCTCCCGCCCAAACCTCCTCTGCGGGGTCTCTGCAGGTGCCACCACCGCTGGGGGAGCCCCCAGGACAATACCTGATGGTGGAGAATTTCTGGCGGTTCCCGTGACGATCGATGAAGCTGATGAGGATCTCGAGGACAAAGAGGCGGATCTCAGCATCCTCCATGAGGGCTGCGGAGAGCAGCCTGTCCAGGAAGACGCTGGGAAGAGCTGTCAGCATGTTACTGCACTGGAAGCCCACAGAGACCTGCAAGCACCAAGGAAGAAGGGAGGCAGCGTGACAGAGTTAACCTGAAGGGGTTAAAATGCACCAAGAAAGGAAGGGGTGCAAGCAGAGAAGACTAAACACAGCTTCAGCTCTTCCAAAACCACCCCACGGGAGAGGGTCCCTGAGCTCAACGTCACCACGGGGGCAGCTGGGACCCCAGGGATCTCGTGGGGATGGGACGTGTTCATACCTGGAGGAGGGACTTCAGGAGCATTATCTGTGTCAGCCGATTCCGGTTCTCCCTGTCACAGAGAGAGAAACAAATGGTAAAATCCAAGTGAAAACAAAACGATGCTTCTTCCGTACCCAAAGGGTGGAAGAGCTTCAGAAAGGGTAGAACCAGTTTCCTGAGAATCCCCACCACGAACAGCCGTGACGTAAAGGTCTCCAGCAAATTAACTCCAGATTTAAGAGCCAGCAAAAAGACCATAGGAATGATAAATATGTAGTATTATCTATTAATAAAGCAACTATTTATGAACACACAAAGTACACATCCTGCCACAGGCACCAAAAATAAGGCAGCACGTGCATCTCCGGGCAGGCTGAGCTCCGGATGACGAACCAACCTCTGGACATCTCCATCCACAGTGACCCCCAAGGGATGCCAGGCACCAGCTCTGAACAGGCTCCTCACTTTTAAACAGCTGAAAATGAGGAAAATGAGGCCCAAACTCTCCTGGCCATGGATGCAGCCCCGCTCTTCGCAAGCCACCATGAGAGACACTTTCATTTCAGTGACGTGGGGGTTTTTTTCTATGTAAAAATCTTGAATTCTTCACTGTCTGAACTCACTATTTCCTAGTCGTGGGGGAAAAGAGGGAGCTCCCAGGGGATTTCCAGGCTGTCCCAAGCTGCCTGCCTCTGCCCAGGGACCGAGCCACACCACAGCATCCCCAAAAGCCAAACCACAGGCTGCAGCTCCTCCGCAGCCTCCTGGCTCACCTACACCCCCGGAGCACGCACCATCCTTCACACGGCGTCGGATGAGATTTAAAAACTCTCCCGGAGGATGCTCACGAGTTGATAAAGGAGCAGTGACAAACAGGCTGGCACAGCCAGCCTGAGAAGTGACAGCCATCCCGGGGCTCCCGCGGCAACGAAAGCTGCCCTGGCTGAACGGGGACCCAGCGCCCGGCGCGTCTCCCACCGCACAAATTAGGATCGATCGCGGGCGTCAGGAATCACCCCCGTGTGAGCGAGGAGCTGAGCGTGTCTCCTATCAGCCGGCAAAGTCTCTCTCCCATCGGAGACAAGTGGGAAGAGCCTGACCGTGCTTGGGAGATAAATATAGCATGAAAATCTGTTTGCTCCTTACCTACATGTTTCAGCGCTGATACCCTCACGCTCCAAATAGCTCTCATGGTCTGTTCCCACACTTCTTAAGCAATTATGTTGTTTGGGTGTTTTCCCTTCCTTCTCTTCCTCCACCGCCGGGTATAAATACCACCTCCCGCTCGGCGGTAATAAAAGCTCGGAGGCAGCTCGGAGAGGCCACGCGCCAGCGGAGGGGAGGCAGCCAGTGCCACGAAGCTGCACACAAGCTTCTCCAAAGCCACGGGCAGCCCTCACTCGCCACCTCGCTGCCCTGAGACAATCTGAAGTCACCCCCTGAGTATCATTGTTAGTTCCTAGCTTGTTTTTGGATGCCACCCCAAGATCCAGCTCCCGACAGCCGAATCTCTCAGCAGGTACCCAAACGAACGTGGAGTTCAGCTGCCTGTAAACACCTTTTCCCCTTGATGCTTTAGCGTTTCAAGGGCCCCTTGTCATCACATTTGCAGCAGGCAGCAAAGCATTTCAAACAAGGGCCGCACGTTGCTCAGTTTCCCTTGCTCTTCAGCGGAAGCTCTCAATGCTCGGCCTTCCGACACCATACCTACATGCCACTCTGTCCCCAAAGGCCACCTCAAGGCGGTTTCAGGAGCTCCCCAGCACTTCCAGCTCCGTGGTTAAAGGCTGACACATTTCCCCCCACGGCAGGGAGAGCAGGGCAAGGGAGAGAATGAGGATGGAGGAAGGCATCCGTTCTCACCCGGCTTTGCCAGTCTCGAGGGACGGCTGCGAGGAGGGCAGCGGCACCTTGTTCATGATGAAGACCATCACCTCAGACTGCTGGTAGGTGGGCAGCGTGCTGGCGAAGGACCCTGCGGGGACAAGAGCGTGCTGGCAGCGCGCGAGGGCGCAGCCCACCGCCCTCAGAAGCACCGACTACCTTCGCCCCGCCCCAGGACGCGCCGAGCGGCGTCGGGTCTTCCCACCCACCCCGCTCCCTGACTCCCGCGGCCAGGCTTGCCTGGATCCAGGCAAGCTTTACCTTCAGCTACCCACAGGCAGCTTTACCTTCAGCGTGACTCAAAATCCATCCAAACACCTCCCAGGTGGGGCAGCCCCAGGCAGGGTGAGGCTGAAATGCCAATCCTTGCCTCTACCCCTTCCCTTCTGGGGGCTGGTGCATCCCCATCCTCAGCTGCAGCAGGAGGATGCCACCAACCCTCCTTCTCTCCTTTCCTTCAGCATCTCCGACCCCAGGGAGAACCAGGGCTCTCTGCCCTCCCGCAGCAGCTCTGCAGGGGACGGCTGGGGCTGCAATGCCACCTGCTGATAACCCCGCGCCGCGACGGATAAATCTCATTTCACCTCTTTCAGCATTAGTGCGACTTCACCCTGGTTAATCCTGCAGCGCAGAAACCCACCGCACAGGGGGTCTCCCCTGCCTGTGCTGAGCCCCCACGGGACACCCCACCTATGGTTTTAATGACGGCCTCCTGGAACATCCTCTCCTCGTGCTCCTTGATGATCTTGGTGCTGACGCCGGCGGCGCAGTCGTAGCTCCCCGTGAGCGCGTAGTCGATGCTGAGCCGCAGCTGCCTCAGCAGGGTGTTGAAAACCTCCAGCACCGTGGGGCCTGGCAGGGCGAGAGGGGAGAGACAGCAGAGGGAGCATCACTGGAGGAGGCTGCAGTTCTTGCCACGGAGACAGAGGCTGGATGTTCCCCCAGGACGGTGCAGTTTGTACCTCCCACCATCCCATAAGCAGTTTGGAAAACAGTGACTTTTAACAACCACCGGCTGCCTCGGTGAAGAGAGAAATGTCTTCCCAGCTCAGCATATTCCCAGCAAGCCCCAGAAAATCCCTTTGCTCCCTGCCACAGAGGCAAAGGTAAGCATCACATCCAGTCCTCTCCCTTTAGGTCACAGAATCACAGAATCACAGAATGTCAGGGGTTGGAAGGGACCTCTGAAG